AAAAAAAGGAGGAGGATTGGCAATAGATGTTAGCTCAGGGCCAGTCTTCCTCAGCAAAAAAAGGAGGATTAGCATGGATGTTATCTCAGGGCTGATCTTCCTCACCAAAAAAAAAAAACAACTAGATATAGAATGTCTATAATTAGTAGCTGAGAAATCTTAGGAATAGAAACAATGGGCTAAAAAGAGAGATGAACAGTTTGGTGTGGATTAGAGTTGGAGATATTAGTATAAATTCATGTTTATTTTAGTCTCTCTCTCTCTAGAGAGAGAGAGAGATAATATTATATATATAGTATAGAGATTATATTATATATAGGTATAGAGATATATATATATAGAGAGAGAGAGATATCTATAGATATGTGTATATACATGAGTTAGTACACACACGTATATATATATATAATGTAGCTCTGTCCACTGAGAGGGCCTAGAGACAGTAACCCCCAGTACAACGAGCATACCCAGCACCCAGATCTTGGTTTCTAAATACCTTTCTCCAATAAAAGGAACCAGGGGTACCTTTGGAGAAATGGCAGATTTTAGGGCTGGGGCTGCTGGGGCGAATGAACCTGGAGCATCTGTAGTGCTAGTAACTAAGGAGGTGCTGGGGAGGTGGGGGTGGTGAGTGAGGGCATGCCTAAAGGATTTGGGAACCAACCTGAAGAGCTCCTAGTGGTCAAAACTGGAACTATTTGAACAACAAAATAAATAATGACAGTATTGGATTATAATCCAAAGAATAAAATCAATATCCATGAGTCCCTACTGATATAAATAGGTGATTGCATAAATAAATGGGGAGAAGGGACAATCTTCCTTATAGAGGAATTCCAAACTGTGTATATAGATATTCCTCCCTTCAGGAGGTGGAACTTAACCCCCCTCTACTTGAGTGTGAGCGAGGCTTAATGACTCACTTCCCAAGACTAGAGATGGAAGGGGAGAAGGCACCACCCTGACCAAGCGATCGAGGGCGGCATCAGCAGCATTCAGTCGTGTTGACACGAGGCAGGGAGAAGGGCACTCCCCTCTGGTATTCTTCCCCCAAAACGAGTCCGATCAGGAGAAAATGTCAGGCAGACCCAAATTGAGGGGCGTCCTACAGCATACCTGACCAGTACCCTTCAAAAGTTTCAAGGTCAGGAAAAGCAAGGAAAAACTGAGAAACTGTCACAGCCAGAGGAGACTAAGGAGACACAACAAATGCAGCGTGGAACCCTGGAACAGAAAAGAAACATTGGTGGGAAACCTGGTGAAATCCAAAGTCTGGAGTTTAGCTAATAATGTTGTACCAGTGATGAGTCTTGGTTTTGACAGATGTACCTTGGGTGTTCTAACATTAGAGGGAACTGAGGGGACAGTATATGGAAACTCTCTGTATTGTCTTTGCAACTTTTGTGTAAATCTGAAATTATGGCAAATAGAAATTTTATTTAAAAAGTGGAGGAAAAATAAAGAATTTGAGCATTGAAACAGAGTCTTAAGAATAGACATGTTTTAATATTATCCTTCCTTCGCACTAATCTGGGTACTCAGAATGTGACTATTTAAATTATTAGGTGTTCCCCCTGCTTTGGTTGTTTTTTTGTGACTTTTCTTGCTTTGTCTGCTAATGACTTTTCTCACTGTGCTTCAGGTGAGTGGCTCGGGGTGGGCATCAGCACAACCAGAATCATCTTCTTTAACACCAAGGAACATGGAAACCACTCCAGCAAATAATGAAGGTAGGCTTTAGAGCTGTCATATAATGCTACCCTCTGGTTCCGTGGCATGCTATGAAACTATTAGAAAATAAGACCCTTGTATTTAATAAGGAAAGATGTCCATGATAGATTATAAAGTGGGGAAAAAAGATTACTGAACATGGAATATGATCTCATTTTTGTAAAAAAACAGAAACAAAAACATACACACACAGAAGACACTCTGGAAGACACACACCAAATTGTTAACTGGAGAATGAAATTACTGAGGATTTTTACTTTCAACTTGATACAAAGTGACTGAAATTTTATAATGATTATGTTACTTTTGTAATCAGAACACAAGATTACTTTTATAATCAGAACACAAGATTTCAGTTTAAAAAACTATTCTATAAAGAGTTGATACCTAGTGATTCACATTTGGTGACTTTATCTTAGGATTATATTTATTGTGAATATATGAATTGCTTATATTTTAAAAATCACTTATGTGATATGAATAACATGGATCAAGATGTCAACTCTTTCTGTTTTAAAATTGAGCATCTTCTGTTAGCCAGAATGTTCATATAAATTAACACAAAAATGTAATATTTGACAACTAAGCAGTGAACTCGTGGAGTGCAATACCATAAGTGCTGGCTTACAGAAATTGAGCCTAGAACTACTTACAGGAACTTAGTGTAACACAGAAGACTAAACAGTCACCAACCTTAAGATGGGGTGATAGTATTGAGAAACTTTCTGGCAAGGATTTTGCTGGATGGTTGGCAAATAAATGGTGTTTATCAAGAAAAGAGTCGTAGAAGAGATGGGCATTCAGCTGTTTGTGAGAGTGGAGCCATGGAGCATGTTGTAAAGAAAGGAAGGTCCTTCTTTTGTGTTGAATTGTAGGTGTCTGGCTACTGAGCACTCCCAGTCCAACCACATGTATGTGTAACGCCCTCCTAACACAGCCGCCTCAGCTCTGGGAATCATCATGCCCATTAGCTTGTGGGTCCCTTCCACTGGGCTGTGAGCTCCTCCAGGGAGAGATTCCTTTTTAAGATAAAGAACCTACCTGAGCCATCAATCGGTTTGTCATTATCCATAAGGAGAGAAGAGAAAAAGTAATTCTGAGAATTTCCTGACTAACGTAGTGAGAAGGTGGGTTTGTACCTTCTGAAAGTACAGATGATAACTTGAATATTGTTGCTCTTACAACTTATTAGCATAAGAGGCCCATTGAGATCGAAGGTCACATGCTCCAGGAGATCCTGTAACCTCTGAAGTCCAGATGTCTCAGTTTGTTTTACTAACAGAAAACTAAGATAACTAGATGCAGAACAGGATTTTGTTCTTGTAAATATTTTGTAATCTACATTCTTAGCTGGAGAGTTTCTCCTGAAAGTTCTGTTGTTGAGAATTCCACCTCCTCCTCCGCCTGCAAGGGCGCTTTCCTCTCTCTTCTCTGTCCAGGATTTTACACGGCTGTTAGTTAGAGAGACTTGTCGTCTCAAGGCTTAACCCAGAATTTCATCCGTCAGCGTTGAGTGACACGCTGCAGTCTTGAGTAAACTTACGGATTACACATGAGAAGGAGAGAAAAAAGAATTTAAACAAATAGAATATGGGACCTAAAATACTCTGCTTCTATGTCCTTAGTCACTGCTGTTTCTCCAATGCTCCGAGCAGCTCCTGGCCCGCACTAGGTAATCAGTGAACAGGGGGTCAGTTGTTTTTCTACAAAATATCATTGTTCTCACTCCTCCTGCTCTGCCTATTTAAGTGCCTTCACTGGAGTTTACCTGTTAAATATTTATAAAAATAAACAAAGTTTCCCCTAAACCACTGTTGGGCCTGCCATTTTTTAAATAACAGCTATGTTGAGATACAATTCACACACCATAAAATTCACCTTTTTAAAGTACAATCCAGTGGTGTTTGGCATATTCACAAGGTTGTGCCACCATCCCACTGTCTAATTCCAGAACATTTTCATCACCCCAAAAAGAAGCCCCATACCCATTAGCAATCCCTCCCCGTTCTCCCTGCCCCTGCCCCCAGCCCCTGGCAGCCACTAGTCTGCTTTCTGTCTAAAGGTTTGCCTGTTCTGGACACTTCGTTTCCATGGACTCAGACAGTATGTGGTCTTCCGTGAGCAGCTTCTTGTACTTGGCCTAACGTTTCAAGACTCATCCATGTTGTAGCATATGTCGGTGTTCCATTCCTTTTTATGGCCAAATAATATTCTATTACATGGATATATAACATTTTGTTTATCCATTCTTAAAGTGATGAATAAAATAAAATTAAAATAATAAAATATTTTTTTAATGAAGACTTAATAGAGTTCCTAACCAGGATCATTTTTTAGGTAAGCTAGAAGACAGGGCAGATTTCCTGGCAACTGAAAATTTAGGTTTCTATCATTGATATAATTGGTGTTAGAATTTCAACATTAACGTATCTTGGGTGTATAGTCCACATATATACTAGGTATTTCAGAACAGTTTACTTTAAAACATCAGATCGTAGGTAGAATTTTGAATGATAATTATTAGGGAGACCACTAACATTTTTCTTCTATAAAGGAACTGGATTCAAAATACACTTCTATTTTAATGGACTTTTAAATCAGAATTTTTATAATTGTAAAATAGAATATGGAGCTAAAAAGAAAGAGGGTCATTGACAAAATTGGAGAAGATACGTAGTACTGAGCAAGTTTCGTGTATTACATGTTCAAAAACACGCTTGATGAGTATATTTTCTGCATTAATATCAATATTTTTTAACTTTCAGGTGGAGCAGAACAAGGACCAAGTGTGGATGGTCTTAATGTACCAACAAAGGCTGCTTTAGGTGACATGCGTTAAGACTCTATATTCTGATTTAGAGAGTGAGATTCGTTAAGAAAAAAATCGGTCCTCTCTTTACATTCTGCTTAGAATTCATAGAGTAATATGGCTTCATGACTATTGATCTATTAGTGAGATTTTATTAAGCAAAAAATGTTCTGTCTTAGCCGGCTTGATGACCATAAAATGCAGCAGCCTGTATACCCAGCTAAGATTGCTGTGATGCTTTGATTTGCTAGTTTACATTGGGCTGGTTTATGTTCCCAGCATAAGCAGAGGTCAGAGCAGCCACGTCATTACTATTTACTCAAGAATTCTTAGCATTTTCTTCTTTTTCTAATTTTATAATAGGTGAACTTAATCTTTAATTTTTCATTATCAGGGAATTATAATCTGAAATAATGCATATCACACTGCATTAATTGGAAAGCAACTGCTTTGGTGAAAAATAAACTATTAGAAATGTTCGATATTTTCATCATGTATTAATAAACTTGTAGGTTAGGAGCATATTATGTGACTACTGCAATACAAATCTGAAAGAAAGTGGTGGAAAGAAAAATTTCCATGGATTTCTTTTTGACACTTGAAATGTAGTGATGTTATTCTCTCATTAGGGCTAAAGATTTTAATCTTTCGTTTTTTGTGTTTTTATGCTATCTTTTCTTATTAAAGCACATTCTCATCTTTATAAGAAGAAAAATAAGATTTTATTGTTACTGGGTCTCTTAAACATAATTCTAAAAACAGAATATATAATCTATGATTAAAATTTGCCCAGAAAATGATTTTTAAGAAAGTTTATCTAAAGGCATCATATATTTTTGTGCAATTTAGAAAGTACTGCTACTAAAATAATAGAATGCTTTATGTTTCTCATTGGTTAAGATGATAAAATCTGTATATAAGTCAGGGTGGAAAAGCACATCACTGTCTGTTTTAGTTGTATACAGAATGCCAGGTTAACTTTATATTCTAAAATAATTTTGAAAGTTTTTGAAGAGTGGAGATTAACAGGGGAGTTTGTTCTAATAAACATAAGAAATGCTCCTGAAGAAATCGATGAATGGGGCGAGCTCAGGCTCCTTATTTCTCTTCAGTGTGGTGTCCAAAAAATATATTTTCTCTGAGTTTGGATGTGACATGGAAATACTGAGGACTCCATTTTGATGAAACTCTGTTAATCTAAAATATGCTCGTATACTTGAGTTTTCTGGATGACAAACTAATGTGGAAAATGTTTTCGTCTCTCATATAATAATATACAGTATCCTAGAATTTTTTTAAAGATACACTAAAAATAGAAAAATTATGTATTTCTATTGGTCTGACTTTCTACTTTTTATTTTTTGACAGAGGTTTCCTCTATCATAAAAAAGAAACCTAATCAAGCTAAAAAAGGAGTGAGTATTATGTATAAAATATTTGGTAGTTCAGCTCTAAAATAGCTTATGCACTCAAGGAAGCCACCTTTGTCATTTTATTTTTATTTGTTTTGAGCCATATTATACTAAATGTGGCTTTGATAAAGAGTCTGTGTTTTGATCAATGAGATGAATGTTATACTTAGTGAAGATTTTCTAGAATGACTGTATCAGCAGAGGCTCCGTGGGAGTTTCTGTTGTGTTTGTGTTTCTCTAAGCAATGCCATCTCATGAGGCTTTGAGGGTTGTTATCTGTCGAGCTTTCAGATACCGTGAGTCCTTCTAGAGCCCCGCTCTGGAGGTGGGCACCACGGTTGAATCCTGACTTTGTCACTTGCTGGCTGTGTGATCTTGGTCAAGTCACTTAACTTGCTTGAGCATCAGTTCCTCGACTGTAAACTGGGGATAAGTTATTATGATGCCAACTTCATAGAGCTGTGAGGACTAAGTCAGGAACAGATGTGAAGTACTTGTCACAGTGCCCAGCAAGTAATAAACCTCAATAAATGTTACTGTTGTTGCAAAAGTTTTCAAACAGTTTGGGTAGATTGTAATCTTATTTATCTTCTAGCTTGGGGCCAAAAAAGGAAGTTTGGGAGCCCAAAAACTGTCAAATGCATGTTTTAATGAAATTGAAAAACAAGCCCAAGCTGTAGATAAAATGAAGGAACAGGAAGACCTTCTGGCCAAGGCGGCACCTAAGGAAGAATCAATGTAAGTTTGATCTAGTTATAGGAAAACATTTTTAGTGAATAAAACTGTTAATTAAACAACTCTGAGATTTGCTTTCCAAATGCCATTCATTTTTACATATGTAAGTGAGGAGGTTAATGCAAAGTTTAGTTTTATGGAAACTAATACGTTTTGACATGTAAATTGGAAGGGAGAGAGACTAGTGGCGAGGGAGAGCAGCAACAATTTCCGGTTGAATTTGTGAGGGCAGGATTGGGATGGTGTCAACAGGAAGGGAAAGAAATGTGTCAGGATGTATTTACGCATCAAAGATGCTCAATATCATTCGTCATTAAGGAAATGCGTATCAAAACCACAATGAGGTACCTCTTCACTCACTAGGGTAGCTTAAATCAAGAAGAGAGACAATTACAAGTGTTGGCATGAATGTAAAGAAATTGGAACCCTCATACATTACTGGTGGTAATGTCAAAAGTTAAATATAAAGTTACCACGTGATCCAGCAATTCTACTCCTACGTGTGTACTCAGAGAAATGAAAACATACACCCACACATTCAAACAAATACTTGTACATGAGTGTTCATAGCAGCATTAATCCCTATAGCCAAAAAGTAGAAACAACCCAAATGTCCATCAACTGATGAATGGATAAACAAAAGGTGGTCTATCCATACAATGGAATATTATTCAGCCATAAAAAGGAATAAAGTACTGATACACGCTGCAACGTAGATAAATCTTGAAAAGTTTATGCTCAGAAAGAAGCCAGTCACAAAAGACCACATATTGTATGATTCCATATCCATATATGAAATCTCCAAAATAGACAAATCCATAGGGACAGAAAGCAGTCTAGTGGTTGCCAGGGGCTGGGGGCAGGGGCAGGAGAGAATGGGGACTGACTGCTAATGGGTATGGGGTTTCTTTTTGGGGTGATGAAAATGTTCTGGAATTAGATAGTGGTGATAGTGGCATAATCTATGAATATGCTAACCACCACTGAATTGTACACTTTAAAAGGGGGAATTTTATGGTGTGTAAATTATATCCCAATAATGAAAAGGTATTCATAGTGTGAAGCTCCATTGGACTTGGCGACTAAACTCTAAATATATGATGGAAAGCTGTGGGTCTGGTGGTATCTCCAGAGTTTTTGAGCCTGGATCTTGAGGCGGTCTCAGTCAGATTGGCACAGAGGACAGAGAGAAGGAAGAGTTGAAGAAAATGAAGGAGAGGGAATTAAGACGTTTGTCCTGGGGGACCTGCCTAGATTGGAGAAGTTGGAACGATCAGGTAGAGCACCTTGAAGTCAGGCTGCTAGGTCTACGTTTTGTCTGAGAGACGGCAAGAGCTCCCTAAGGAGTGCTGTGATGAAGGGTGTATTTCGGAAAGTGAGTTTGGTAGTGATATCCAGGACAGAGAGGATGGAGAAGAAGCTGGAAGCCAGGAGGCCGGTCAAGAGACTGGTGTTAAGTAGACATTTAAGGCTCTTGAGAGCTTTTCATGTGTTGAAAACAGAGGAGAAGTATGGCCACCTGGAAAGTGCGTGTGTGGGGTATAAAAGGTCAGAGGAGAGAAGAAAGGGAGTGAACGCAGCACAGAAAGGAGAGGCACCTAGATTCCTGGTTTTTATGTGTGTTTATTTTATTTATATGGATTTGTCTCTTATTTTCATGTGTATTTTTTCAGTTTTAGCCTGAGTTACTACTGATTGCATAATGAAGAACATAATACTTGTTTTGTGAGGTTGTTTTGAGGATTAACTTAGTTAATGCTCATTTAGGTGCGTCAGACAGTGCCTGGGGCATAGAAAGTGCTCGATCAGTGTGATTTCTTACTGTTCACACTAGCAGTTTGCTGAGTGGACTTTGTATGGTAAGCCCAGATCATTTGAAATTATTTCTACTTGTCATTTAGCTCACAGAACATAGGGGGCAGCACTAAACTGTGTTTAGATTAAATATGGTTTGAAACACTTTATGTAAAATTTATTTTGAGTTTTAACGGTGTTTGGGCAGGAGCTCTGTCCAGATTGCTCAGGCGTGAGGTTTTCCCAGAGAGGGAGTCCAATTATTCTGAATTTGATTAGGGAACCCAGGTTGACAGCTTTCTCCGCCTTGTTCAGAACAGCCACACCGCTATGCCTTAATCACTGTCCTGCCTCTTAGACCCATCCCAGCTCAGTTTCACCAAACCAGTGCTGGGCCAGCTATGAGAAGTGCACCTGTTTTATCCTTAAAACGTGACAATGTTATTCTTCTGCAAGTTAATTTTTTTAATGGCTGTAAATAAAGTTACTTCAGTAAACTATCAGGAGCAGCATTGTTTCTTATATCGTCAGACTGTGAAACTAAACTGTCCATGCTGTTGCCTGATCCTTACCTTCTGGCAGTTTCTGGGCGCATCCTCAGAGGTGTCTGTGTGCACGGTCGGTAGGAAGCGTAGAAGAGGCAGAGGCGCTGCGGGAGCTGCTCCCCTGCTTGATCTGAGTGTCTTGCAAGCCCTCCCTTGAGCTAGGACTGGGAGGGGCTCCTGTGGTTCTGAGAAACAGAGTCCTGGCTTCCGGATTCCATTAGTGCTTCCCGAGCGCGTCACAGCAAGCCCGGATGTTAAAGTGCATGCTCTTAACGAGGGATAGACCCAGTCTATGTCAGATGTCCTCAGAGGAACTTTCCCGTCTCGTATCTTTCTAGTAGAACTTTTCCATTCCCATCCATTCATCTTCTCCAGAAGACTGTTGCTACAGTTATATCAATTTGTGATTTTAGACAGATCTGTTGTTTTCCTCCAAAAATTATACCTGATTTCGAGTATTATTTATTTTCTGAGTAATAAAATGGGTCTACGTGTTACCATAGGAATTATTCTTGTTCTGTAGGAATAATAGTAAAGAAAGCAAACTGTCAGAGACAAAACAAAGAGATCCCGCTTGGCTCATTAAAGAAGAAATCAGCAAAAGCAAGATTATTTTTTCCTAGTGAGGAATTCTGTTGTCGTTCCCTGTTACTACACAGAAATATATTTATATTATTAGGGGATTCATACAGTGCCTTTCTTGTGAGGAATTCGTGACATTTTATAACATTTTATAAAATGGATGGTAGCCTACAAATCCTGATAAGGGAGGTATATCACTTTGCAGGGCCCTGAAATTTTGTTGCTATCTTACTAATATGATAAAATACTCTTGTTATTGCTAAGATAGGCATAGTTTTGTTTTTTTTTTTTGATTTTAGAAAAGCTCTGATTTTTTTTTAATTGATGTTTTAATAGTTTATAACATTGTGAAATTTTGGGTTGTACATTTTTGTTTGTCCATCACCATATATATGTCTCCTTTCACCCCTTGTGCCCACC